CTCCGGAGTAGTCAAACGATAAAAATCGGTATCCATTTATCAATCGACAAATCGATAAAAATCGTTAAATCTGATTTGATTGATATCGATTGTATCGATCAATCGGTAGAAATCGATGACACACTTGTTTCGTTTATCGATTTATCTAGATTACCAATTTAATCGGAAGATTCGTCCGTTCTTCTGTTCATTCAAAAATGAAAACTGATTTCAGGCAAACAGTGAATTTGTTGACAATTGAATTGCAATTTAGAGTCGAAGGATCAAACAATTTATTATCACCTTTTGTAAAAAATCTTATCTTTTCTTTAAAACCCGGTTTAAAGTCTTCTTCTGATGACCGAAATTGGCCAGGTTTGTAGGCGCCCAGTCTTTCACGATTTCGAGTTGCCATCCTTCAAAATAACTCGCATCAGTTCCGCGTGTAGTTACTTGCTGGAGTAGCCAATAGACAAAAATTGAAATCGAAATCGATAAAAATCGTTAGCGATCAAGTGATTTTATCGACGGAGAACGGTGAAAATCTATCTAGGGAAATCTTTTAGCCTAAATTTCAGGCATCCCTTCGACTCTAGGGGATGTCTGAAAGTCAGGCTGGGAAATCTTTTATGCATTAAGGTTGTATTTGTCATGGTACTTGCCTGCGAGAACTGCGAATGTATTAAACCGAACCGTTTTTGTTATCAGACGACGACGACGAAAATTTGTTGACGAACGTGACTTTCCCATACAAACTCTTAATATACGGATCAAGTTTAATAGATCATCCTCTCTTGGTTCAATAGTGCAAAGTGCTATTACTCTAATTGCTATTTCCATTTTGGTCAGTTTTTTGTCCGCTTAGCAACTTAAGCATAACAAATTTACCCTTATCGCGGATAAACCTTATTGGGAAATACTCCGTGCAAAAGCGGACAACTTTTTTTCTGTTTCGAATGACCGCTGTAAAACGCAATGGACAGCGGACTGAACGGACTCCTTTTCAAGTGGGGCCCCACTTTCAAATACGCAAGGATAAAAGAAATGGGAAATATACAAACGAACACGAAACCTTGATAAATAAATCAATCAATCAATCAATCAATCCGATTAGAGATCAATACTATTTTCTCTTTTTGTTTTGTCTTTATAGGGCATGTTTTATTTTATTCATTTATTTATTTTATTTTGAACAATATTTATTCAGGGGTGCCCAGTTCAGCGAGGCTGGCCTGAATGGAGCCCGGATGAAAAGAAAAAAGAAACAACAAAAAGACAATAAATAGATAAAACATTAGAACAACTAAGTATAGCGAAAGTATTGGACGGTCAGTTTGGCTTGGATCTAAAGTGCCTTTTTAGGCCAAACCCAGACTTATTTAAATCATGCTTGCTCCTCAAGGCCATAGGAAGCGTGTTCCAGATCTTGGCTCCGCTGTAACCTGAAGGAGCCCTGGTACTTAGTTGTTCGAGCTAGCGGCAGACGGAGCGAATCTCTATGGCGGGAAATCGCGCGCGTGGCTAAATTCATTAAGTAAATATGCTGGAGCCAGGCCATGAAGGCTCTTAAACACTAGCATGCACTTTAGATAGCCCCGGCGGGACTGGAGCGTAGGCCAACCGAAAGTATAAGATATCGGCGATTGTGAGACTGCGTAGCCTTCAATAATACTGGCGGCACGCCTATGCAGCTTATCCAAGTACTCTCGGTCCGCCTTACTGCAGGAGTCCGACGCGACAGCGCAATTGTCGAATACTGGGAGTATCATGGAGTTATTAAGTGTTAAACACAACTCACGCGGAATGACCTTGCGCGCTTTACGAAGCATGCCGAGCTTAACCGTTTTATTGCGTCCGATGTAGTTTATGTGGTCATTCCACGAGAGGTATGGATCCAGCATAACGCCAAGATACTTAAACTGATAGACTCGTGACAGGACAGTGTCCCCTGCTCTGACTGTGAAACTGTCAACTAGGGCAAGCCTCTGATCTGTACAAGTCAACATTACCTTAGTTTTGCTATAGTTAAGGTAGAGGAAGTTATTATTGAGTCACTCTATTATGCTTAAGATCTTCGCATAGCATAGATTCTATGTCGGAGATGGAGCTACTGCTAACGTATAGGAGGGTATCACCTGCATACAATTGGATTTTACGATGCTTTAACACCGAAGGTACATCGTTGTAGCCTGCGAAAACATCCGTTGCTCCTCGCTCTTCGCCGCTGGGGACGTCCCCAGCGAGGAGAAACGGATGTTTTCGCAGGCTAACAGATAGATAGATAGATAGATAGATAGATAGATAGATAGATAGACAGGTAGACAGATAGACAGACAGACAGACAGACAGACAGACAGATAGACAGACAGACAGACAGACAGATAGATAGATAGATAGATAGACAGATAGATAGATAGATAGATAGATAGATAGATAGATAGATAGGTAGGTAGGTAGGTAGGTAGATAGGTAGGTAGGTAGATAGGTAGATAGGTAGATAGGTAGATACATACATACATACATACATACATAGATACATACATACATACATAGATAGATAGATAGATAGATAGATAGATAGATAGATAGATAGATAGATAGATAGATAGATAGATAGATAGATAGATAGATAGTCTTACAAGGAAGACTGTTCCAGAGAATGGCGCCACTATAGCTGAAGCTGTTTTTGTAATAGTTTGTGCGCGGTAATGGAACATTGAGTTTATTTTCAGAGTCCCTTAGGTTATATGCGACTTCTCGCCTTTCAAATTTAGAACTAAGATAGCTTGGAGCCAACCCGTGCAGAGACCTGTAAACCATCGTAGCTCTTTGAATTTGTTGCTGGCAAGCTAAGTTTTTCCACCCTAGAAGTTTGAAAAGGTGACCAGCATCTACGTCATAGCTTGAGTAGGTCAAAACACGGGCTGCTCTGTTTTGTAGCTTTTGAACCTTATTCCGTAAGGTTATCCCACAGTTTCCCCAAACAATGTTGCAATAATCAAAGTGTGGCTGTATTAAAGCTTGATATATTAGTCGTAAGGTCGCCTGAGGGACAAGGTGCCTTATTCGTTTTATGGCCCCAATACCAGAAGCGACTTTCTTTGTTACTTTCTCGATATGGCCACTCCAATCAAGTCTGTCATCGATGGTCACTCCAAGTGATTTTGCAGTAGTGACCTGGCTAACTTGAAAATCATTAATTGCAAATGTCGGGGACTCTGTGAGAGTACTTAGTCTCTGCCTAGATCCGATAAGCATAAATTCGGTTTTAGTCATATTTAGAGTAAGTTTGTTTGCTCTCAGCCAATTATGAACATTTTCTAAATCTTGATTTAGATGCAACTGAATATTGTCTGCATTATCACCTGCGTATGTAAGGTGGGTGTCGTCAGCGTACATCCTCGGCTCACAATTTGAAAGACAGTTTGGAAGATCGTTGATGTATAACAGAAATAGTAGTGGACCTAAAATTGTCCCCTGGGGAACACCACAACTTAATAAACAGCTTTGAGAGAGCGATCCGTTGATGGAGCACATTTGAGTACGATTCTCTAAATATGACTTAAACCATTGGTGTGCGTTACCATATATGCCGTAATTGCTTAATTTTGATAAAAGGATCTCATGGTCAACTGTGTCGAAGGCCTTTTTGAGATGTAAGAAAACAACGGCGTTGATTTTACCGCGGTCAATATTGTACGCCCAAGTGTCCGTGGCCTCAAGGAGAGCCGTGACAGTTGAGTGAATAGCACTAAAGCCTGATTGATATTTACAGATTATATTGTGCTCTTCTAGGTAGGCATATAATTGATCATAGACGATTCTTTCAAAGACCTTGGCCATAACTGAGATCACCGAAATTGGACGATAATTATTTAAGTCGTCCCGATCGCCTTGTTTAAAAAGTGGGGTGACCTTTGCGCATTTCCAGTCATCCGGAAATATGCCTTGATTTATTGACTGGTTAAAAATATCACGGATAGGAATGCAAATGAGATCTGCACATTCCCGAATGAGCCTAGCAGATATCTTGTCAAGGCCAGCTGCCTTTGACTTATTTAGACGATTCAAAAGTGAGAGAACTTTATTTGTACTGGTTGGATGGAGCTGAAACCGTTTATCTGTACCAGTGAGGTACTTTTGATAACCATCACTATTTGAGGAATCAATATTGGTAGCAAGTTCTGGACCGATAGTAGCAAAGTGATTATTAAATTGGTTCGAAAGCACAGTTGGATTTGTTATTGATACTCCATTTACTTTCAGAGATGTCACCGATTTTTTCCCAGATTTTCGCGAAGTAAGTTCATTGATAGTCTGTCAGGTCTTTTTAGAATCGCCCGTATGCTTGTTAAAACTATTTTGATAATAGGCTTGCTTGGCTAATCTGATTTCGCTATTTACTATATTGCGTTGTTTTCTAAAAAGTGACCAGTCATTTGAATCATTCGATTTACTTGCTTTAATCTTTAGAATATCCCGATCATGCATTCGTTTCTTAAGCTCAGATGTAATCCATGGGGAACTACGCGTGCGAACACGCATTGTTCTCAAGGGAGCATGCTTGTTAACAATAGATAGAAACGAGCATTTCCATTGTAGCCACATTTCATTGGGATCAGTTGAGTTGTATATGTGATCCCAACAATGAGATGCAATATTGTTCCGAAAATTTATTCGATTAAATTTTCGAAAGTTTCTGTAGGTTATAGCATTGTGCCCACCAGAAATTCCATTCACGGATAATTTTCGATACGCAAAAACTATGCTATGATCGCTAATACTGATATGACGAACCCCCGAACACACAACTTTATCTGAACAATTAGTATAGATTACATCAATCAAAGTTGCAGAAGTGGGAGTTATTCTGGTTGGTTCAGTGATAAGTTGCTGTAGACCATAAATATCAGTGATACTCATTAATTTGCATGTATTATTGTCATATCGAGTAGCAATCATGTCGCAGTTAAGGTCTCCCATTAGAAAATATTCAATATTTTCGGAATCGAGTTTCCCAATTAAAGTTTCGAAAGGTGAAGAATACCAATAGGAGAATCAGGTGGCCTATACCACGTGGCAACAACAAACGGTTTAGATCTAGGTTTTTGAATTTCTAGACATAGATTTTCAAGAGTGTCCATGTTTAAATCATTTCGTATGGTAAAAATTATTGAACTTTTCACATAGAAACACACTCCTCCTCCACCGTTTGTAATTCTATCACGTCGAATTATATCATAGCCAGAGATGTTTACCTCATTGTCGCTAATAGTTTCATTGAGCTTAGTTTCATTAATCGATAAAATATCTATTTCCTTGCGCGCTAGAAGAATTCTAAGTTGATCTATGTGTGTGATTAATTTATTGATATTTAAAGAGGCTAATTTAAAACCTCGTTGAGATGGCAACGCTGAGGTAGACCCATGAGATTCCTCAGTATTGCGTTTTGTACATTGAATAGGCACGGCATCGGTGGATAGCGCATCATTTCAACCTAAACTCGTCTGAAAGTTCTTAAAAAACTGTTGATTACCTTTGAAATTAAGATGTAGTCCACCCTTGTTAAGTTGCTTTCGGAGATGTTTTGATGCTGTATAAATTTCCATCCATTCTGCCGGCAGTAGAACTTCAGTTGTTTTTAAACTGTTTTCACGGCTTCATTGAATCCGTCTCTTCCTGACACGAGCTCAGATATAATTACTGTGGCATCGGATGAGTTTTCAATTTGTCTGGCGAGATCTACCACTGAGCCGGCGACTTGTTGTGGTTCTTTACTTTTGAGATCATTAGTGCCCACATGTAGAATCACTTGGTCCGGTGAAAGCTCCAAATTAGGTTTAAGGTAATCCTTCATAGCTTTGGTGGTGGCACCGGAGAACGATTTAACCACCACCCGATGACCAACGGCTTTTCCTAAACGTGTACCCTGGATATTCTTTATCATAGAGTCTCCAATCAACAAGGTAGTACTTTCGTTTGCTGGCGTGGAATTTTCCGTGTCATCATGGGCGTTGGACTGTGCTTCATTGATCTTCTTTCTCCGTGTTTTGTTCTTTTTCTTTTTCTTTCTCTTTTTCACGTCAACGGTTTGCCATTCGTATTCAGGATTACAGCTCTCATTAGACTGGGCATTATCACTCTTTGAGTTTCCTTGAGGGGCAGTTACCTCGTAACTCTGATTCCTCTCATTGATGTAGATTATAAATAACGAGGGACCGATCAATGACCCTTGCGGGACTCCAAACAAAATCGATTGGGGATCAGATGTTGATCCATTCACTACAACACTTTGTGTCCTATCTGTCAAGTAAGCCTTAAACCATTGTATGGAAGCCTTACTGAACCCTAGTGATGCTAACTTATCCAATAATACACTATGATCAAGAGTATCAAAGGCCTTAGTAAGGTCTAAAAAGACTAGGCCTGTGAGTTGACCCTTATCAATGTCACTGTGAAGCAAGGTGTTCGTGACATCAGTCAGGCACGTGCTGGTGGAGTGGAGACTACGAAAGCGGACTGGTAGACAGAGGGCAAATTGTATTGCTGCAAGAATGTATATACCATCTTGTGCACTGCGCGCTTAAGGATTTTACTGAAGACCGGCAGGGCTGAGATCGGTCTATAGTTAGCTGGATTCGTTCTACAGTCAGATTTATGCACAGGCGGTATTAAGTCTTCAGCGAGGGACCTGTTCATGAGCACAGTCGGGGGTCTTGCTATCGCGCCAGAACCTTCCTTAAGGAGACGTGTGGGAATATCCGCGAGGCCGAGCGATTTAGAAGGTTTAATATTCTTTAATTCTTTCCTGACGAATTCCTCGCTAATAGAAAATAGTTTGAAAACATGGCGAGCCTTGGGTGAAAGACCGGGCCATGAAGCCTCCTATGAATTTTGCGACTATTGTGCCGAAGTAATGTGCAAAACCCCGTGCGATCTTCCTCGGCTCATGAGCAAGGCCAGTGGTAGTTTCCAAACAACCTATATTTGAGCACTTTGTATTGATTGAAATAGCAGATTTCAGTAACTTCCAGAGTTTGGTGGAGTCCCCTTGCTCTCATCAATCAGGCTTGAATAGTTAATAGTCACGCTTCGCTGCTCCGATAAGACTAGTTGTTGTGTTTCGGAGAGCTCTGTAAGTTGACCATTGTTCAGGTGTTTTCATTTTTAGTGCTTTATTGCGGATGGTAATCACGCCGCATTATGTGATCTCTTATATCAGCCGTCAACCAAGGAAGCGTCTTAGCTCGGACTCTTTTCGTGGCAATAGGTGCGTGTCGATCCATTATATTCGTGAGAGTGCTTTTTAAAAATTGCCACGCTTCACCTACAGTGAGGGAAGCGTCGACTAGCTACCAGGAGGCGGAATGCAAATCGCTACAAAAATTCTCCTCTGCTTCTTGGATCGCCTAACTATATAGACAAGCGAATGATCGCTGATTGCACAGTTGTGGACACCGCTAGCGACGATTTTCCCCATCTCTGAGAATTTGATCTCTTACTTTCAATTTACAGTTAAAGTAGTTTCATCGATTGATTCGTTTTAATTAGAAAGAACAATAATAAGCAAAACTATACCCTCATAGTCTCTAGGAGGATTCCAAACGTTTCCACCATTCATTTGAATGACTGAAATATTAGGCGGTCACAAGAGCATTCCCTGCGGGTGCCCACTTTTTAAAACGGACTTCACTTTTTAACACTAAAATTAAGGACTGTTATGCTCACAGATTGCATTCACAGTAAAACGCTATTTTCAAATGCATTTTTAAGCCCAAATGTACTGCAATATTTTAATACATTTATGATCAGTGTGATGGATTTAGTATTAAAGGAGCTGTATCACGAAATTCAAACAGTGGAAACTGCTACCAAACTGGGGAAACCTTAAAATAACTGAAATAACCACCGCTCAAAACATTAAAGAAAGGTATAAATAACACAGCAAACACAAAAGAAGGCATCGCTGGACTAAATTAAGAAGGATTAAAACGGATTGCAATACACTGTGGCTTTGAAAACCTATTGCTTAACACTTTTCTTTTTGTTTTTGATGTCTGTAATGTTTGATATAATGCATTTCTTTGACATGAAGCAGAGATTTTGCTGTGACTTACTAGTAATTTCGTCACTAACGTTAAGTTCCTTTGCGAATAAGGAAGTCTAATATAAAATAGGCAAAATGAACTACCACTACTCCAAATGACATGCCCCCTTTAAAACCCACAGTAAAACATGACGATGTATAAGGCTCGCTGTACTGTAGCAATTTGTAATAATCATCGCACTTTGTAATACCTGTCGCAATTTGTAATAAATCCATCGCACTTTGTAATACCTGTCGCAATTTGTAATAAACCGTGTCGCACTTTGTAATAAAAAAGCTGTCGCAATTTGTAACAACTGTCCATCGCACTTTGTAATAAACTAAGCTGTCGCAATTTGTAATAATTCCATCGCACTTTGTAATAACTTTTTGAGAGTAATTAAACTTACTTCGTCAACATTAATATAACGCCAAAATATGCATGGTACTTCATAAACAAAGATGATGACGTCTGCTAACACGTAACAACTCCGCTCATTCAAACACTTAACTTTATTCACAGTCCTAAACTTTTTTTTTTAGATTGATGTTGATTAGTTATCTGATTTACGAAATGCTGTATTCTTAAACCTTGCCATTGTACTAGGTTGTTTGCATTCAATGGTTACCCGGCGGGTGTACTTCCTTATATGTCCAATACGGGGATGCGCCTCTGGACAGAGCATTGCCAGAGTACAGGATCTAGACAGAGCTAGACTCACTAGACACAAACGAGCCATCATTAAAAAGCATTTAATTCCGCAAATCGTAACATCCATCCTACATCATTCGAATAAGGACACCAGGAGAGTTCAAGCTTTCCTTGTTAGATCTTATAACAGGTCGACACAACACGTGGTGCACCGTCCTTGTCTAACGCGCAATCTTAAAGAAGTAATAGTGGCTTCGATATGCATATTTTGGCCAACTAAATCAAACGAGTCCGGAAAGATTCAAAATGTTTAGTGTAAATAAAAAAAAAGCACCTCACCAGTCGCAATCCGTCGAACCACAACAGAAACCTAAACACAAAATCCAGTTAGTCGCTGGCCAATACCTTCGTATGTACCTGTTTTTATAACACTCACTTGGGGTCTTACACTGAGCCGGCTGGCCATTTGGTCCATTATTCTCCCTTGATTTGGTCCCATATAGGAACAAAAGGAGTACTCATTCCATATTAAAACAATTGTTTTCTATAAGGAGTCCTCTAAAACAAATACCATGGGAATAGTAGAAAATTGTCCTTCCCTGAGTATAAACACTCGTAAGACCTTGCAATTCTTCCGAGCGTGTTCTGGAATACTGTTTTTCCACAAAATGGAAAAGATGGAATAAACCATCCATTACTACTTGAGTTACCCTATCTAAGGATCAAACCAAAGACACAAGGCCAACAACGTAAAAAATGATACCGTATTAAAGACTCGAGATCCTCAAAAACCATACCCTATCAGGCGGTACTTACCTATCTAGCCCATCCATATATAGGATCCCCCCGAAGACTTCACGTGTCACGTGGCAAGTAGACATGGATTTGGACGACGAATGCAAGGTTATTCATGAATTTTGTGTTGTTAAATGTTGCATTTCTTATTTAAATATTTTTTAATTTTAACATGATTCATATCTTTTTGATGATATGTCACAGGAACTCTCATGTCTTTCATAAAGCGTTTCTAGTTGGTCACGTGATTAATCAAGGCAGAAAAAGTTACCAAAGAAAAGGTTACGGAGACGTTACGTGCTAGCAGACGTCATCATCTTTGTTTATGAAGTACCATGCATATTTTGGCATTATATTAATGTTGACGAAGTGATTTGAATCACTCTCAAAAAATTATTACAAAGTGCGATGGAATTATTACAAATTGCGACAGCTTAGTTTATTACAAAGTACGATGGACTGTTATTACAAATTGCGACAGCTTTTTTATTACAAAGTGCGACGCGGTTTACTACAAATTGCGACAGGTATTACAAAGTGCGATGGATTTATTACAAATTGCGACAGGTATTACAAAGTGCGATGATTATTACAAATTGCGACAGTACACTCGCCAGGGCCCATCAGTAAACAACGAAGTTGAATCAAAGGAATTAAAGGCGTTACTTAAAGGGGCGGTGTCACGGCAGTCCAGTTTATTTTGTTTAATTTTGCCAATTAGTCGCCTCTAATCGCTATGGAACTTAAAGTAAGCAAAGAAATTACATGTAAATGACAAACTCAGAGATACGAGACAAACAAATATGTCTCCTGAGCATTATTTTTGAAGTTGCAAGCAGCAGGGATCAACACGTGTCGACACGTGTCGCCTTTTCTCGCGTGGGGTGATTTTCACGCGCGCTGGCGTTTCGCTCGCTCTGCTATCCCTGAGAAAAAATGGGAGTCGACTCGTAGTCTATGACCTTCTGCACATGTTAGCTCGCTCATACAAATCCAATTTGTGTAGGGGATAGGGGGGATTTTTAGGGACCAAGGCCGCTCACCGGGACCTTCAATCGTTTGTTAGTTTGTCGAAAGGAAAATGGCGTAAGAAAAACTGATCCATTCATTCATATGAATCCTCCCAGACTAGCAAATAACGTATTTATATTTTTCCTACTTGTAAAAAAAGCCTCCAACCCGCACATGTATGTGTGTTGATGTAGCGGGCGATTGATTGCAAAAACTAAAACTAAGCTTTACAACATTTTTTAAACTTGTGAGAATATGTGTCTTGGTAGAAAAATTATGAGCTTTTTTGTGTCATACAAGGATAAAAGAATAAGCAAACTTTATAGAAAGCTACAAAAAAATTCTTGCTAAAGATTTTTTTGGGCAATGATGATTAATTATTTATTAGAATATTTTAAGATTTTATTATTTGCATTCAGCTTATGGCAAAGCCCCTGCATACATTCAGAACCTAGTTTCTTTGAAATCGCAAGGCGCATACTGACTGAACCTCAGATCCGGTCAGATGGGATTTTGCTAGCATCCCCAACATTTAGGACCAAGAAAGAATGAGCCTCTCTTGTTAGGACTAAGGTCACACTAGGCGATTGGTCCTTCCAAGTGGCTGCACCCAAGTTATGGAATGCTCTACCACCTGAGCTTTGCGATATTCCTAACTTGCACACTTTTAAGACCAATCTTAAGACGTACCTCTTTAAGTTTGCTTATAGTTGAATGAATTTTAACTGTTACGTATCGATATTTTAGATTTTTGTTGTAGAAGTGACTTACTGCTTTTGTATTGTAAATAGGTTTGTTTTTTTCATGCTCTTATTACTAATGTAATGTGCATTTGATCATTTTTATGCATACCTGCGTAATATAAGTTATTAAACTATTTTTATCATTATTAATAATAATTAATTATTATTAATTCATGGGAACCGTACAAACGACATATTGACGAAATCAAGCAAAACTAACGACGAGAGAACGACTAGACAACTAACAATTTGACTAACAATATTCGACTGTTAACGGTGACAAGGACGGATGAAAACGCACCCATGACATTACGAGTTTTCACAGCCAATAATATCACGGCTCTACTCACAGACGACCAATAACATCTCGACTTGATTGACCAATCAGGTCAATAACCAGAGTTTAATACCATAAACTGACGTGATACAACTCTCTTTGACAGTGGAGATGATTACCGCACAGGTTGTCGAAACGTCAGTCATTGTCAACAACAACAGTCCTTTTCAGGACTACGTTCACCCGGACGATCATATTCAACCTACTTTTGATATGAAATGACTTCTGGATTCAAACCTTTCACCGATTTAAAACTTTAGCTTATATTATCAAAAATGAAGCTTTCTTCAGTATAAAAAAGACTTATGTATCTTGGCAGACTAGCGTGCAGTTATCTTTTTTTGTGTCAAACAAGGGTAAAAAAGAATTAGCAAACTTGAGAAAGCCGCAAAAAATTTCGAGGTAAAGATTTACTCAGTCGGAAACTGATTAAGTTAATTTAGTCGAGCAGGATCAATTCTGCGCCGTATGTAAGCTTTCCAAAGAGTCATATTTTACAGATACGAATCTTATGGCCGATTGAATTGAATTCGAGTAATAGTAAATTAAAATATATTAACAAAGAAATGAAAAACGATGGTAACCGAGGGCTGCATGATAAGTCGTATTGTTTAATCAAACTTGTAAGCTAAATGAAATCATTGACAACTGACATTGAACTTTAGAGAAAAGTAGAAAACGAGCGAAGCAAACGTCTGAATGAAAAACGACAGAATCTAGATTTAGACAGCAAAAATGGAAAACGGAATAGCAAACACTATAAAAATTTCGAATAAACAGTGCATAAAAGCATGATTGCAGTCCTTACAGCGCGCTCGCTTGTCTCCATGTCGGAATGTTAGAATGACAAAAGATTTTGTTAGGGGACTGGACCCCAGGGGACCCCGGGTCCAGTCACTGGTGCACAAGGATGAAGGACGGGTCCACACTCTTCGATTTTTGGCAGGCAACTCCACCACATTTTTTTCCTCCTTTTGCCCCCTCTCAGACTTCTCAAGGTCAGTGTACACGGAGTTGCCTGCGGAGGAGGCTAGGGTAGGGTTGAGTTGAAAAATTGTGCGTACCTCTGGAAAAATCCTAGCTACGTCCCTAGATATCAGTCTTAAGGAAAGCTAACCGAAGCCAGTTTATAAACATTTTTCTTGAATCACAGCTCGAGCTCAGACATCCATTACTGCTAGAGAACCAAGCGCAACAGTAGCAGAAGGATCAAGCCTCACCCTCGAGTGGGATTTTTCTCTTCAATCCAGTGACAGTTTAAGGGAGATTGTTTTTGGTCTTTGGGAAAAAGGCTATACAAGTTCGTTCTTTATTACGGTAACGCAAAGTCGTGGAGCCGTTGTGAATCCTGAACTAAGTAAAAAGCACCCAAGCTATGTGGGTCGAGTCTTTTGGGTGGGGAACATTTCCAGATCATATGCCGCGTTCCGCTTGGACAACACAAGACTCTCTGACAGCAAAACATATGGGTGTCAGCTTGGTGTTGGTGGTTTTGGACAAACTAGAGATTCCAAGATGTCTTTAGTTGTCGAGGTAAGAGATGTCTTTAAGTTATTATGAAATTTTCCCAGTCTGTGAATCAGAATCTATGCACAAACAGCTCTATTGATATGCTTAGGATTTCATTGCGGCAGTTACCTTTCTAAGAGCCACCTTACGTTGATATGTTTCATAGAAAAGTTTTAATTACTTAAGAGAGTGAGCTAAAGTTTTTTCGCGGTATGTTAAGTTGTTGTGGTTCAACTTTGTCCTTGGTTTACACATCATCTTCCATTGTGTTAAACTTATTATCTTACTTAGGCCCTATTAAAAAAACCCAGAATACTCTTTGCTCTGCGTCTCCAAAATTATGTATAAGCGCTGTCTCCAATTTTTCGGCGGACGATTGTCCAAAGTCCCGAGGGAAATTGAAAAAATGTTTAGGCAAAAATTTGGAGTAATATTTAAACAAGCGCCTGCTACGCAGGCTAGATTAAAGCCTAGGGCAAACGTCAAAGTTTTCATGAGATGAACGAAACTCTAATTTGCGTCGACCTAAGTTAAGTTAAGATCGCCTGTTTAGGTCAGACGGCGAACTTTGTACGCGAACCACTCAACTGAATCAGACCAAAAAGCAATTTTAATAAATTTTCTCCTAAAAAGGCTAAATTACAAATTTTTAATTTGTTAGTTTAGTTTATTGCGAATGAAGATCGACGTTTGTCGCGGAGAGGATCTTCAGACCTTCTATCTGTCAGAGGCAGACGGATTGAACGTATTGGACGATCCAAACGTATAACCATCTCATTCAGACGAACGTAACTGAGCCAGACGTTTTTTTTTTTATGAACTTAACTCACCAAGTTTGCATTGGTTCGTCTCATGAAAAGTTTGATATTTGGCCTAGGCGGGCCTAATAGTATTATTAGACTCAAAGACAGGCGCCCGGAGACTTATGTTATTTGTCAAGCTTAAGAGAACCTGCCAATTCAAGGAGAAATTGCTAATGTAGCTGAATTCACTAAATGAAAGGAAAGTAATTTACTGACAATTTACAAACAACGTAAACAACGTTATAGAAGAAAAGAGGGCAACACAGGATCTAAACATTAGCTAAACCCTATCCTAAACTTGAAAACTCTCTTTACACTGTTACAGTTTATTGAAGAAAGCACCTTCCACAGGGTTTAAGAGGAAGATGGCTTTACCCTTAAAAAATAATAATAAATAATTTTCCTCGGTTGATAATCAGCATAACCAATGTAACAAGATCATGCGCAGAACGCACGAACCTGCATTTTAGCGAGTCATTTCATTTATACATAACTCTGGGGGATCCAGCGTTTTGCGTTCATGAAATCCGTACGAAGTAACCCGGTTCGTTTCTTCAGTGTAGTTTGTGTACATTACTGTTCTAAGCATTGCTGTGTTTCAGTATGCTCAACAATACTCATGTCAGGCGCCCCTATATTGCAAATGTTTTTCATTGCAGCAATTACGAACAACAAAAAACTAACAGTGAGCAAACGTAGTCAAAATGCATAAACGAAAAACACCTTCTTCCGCAGAAATTATCATTGGATGGAAAAGGATCAGCATTTTTACATGTTCCTTTAGCAAGAGTTGGTATAGTTGGACAGATAGCTGAATTTGAATGGGAATACCAGTACGATACTAGTGTTGCTAATGGTGGGGATGTAAAAATTGTCCAATTTAGCAAAAGGTCAAATCCGCAGACTAAGCCGCGAATCCTGTGGAAATTTCAGGACAATGTAAAAACGACTATTCCGGAATATGCCGAGCGTTTATTTGTGTCCAACGTGACGAGGAATGAGCGGGAAAAATATCCCATTGAAAGATATACTTTCAAACTTTTTAAAGTCAATACAAACGATGAGGGATACTACGAATTAAACGTCGGGTTCACAAATGAAGAGATGGACTTGGACAGTCGAGTATCTCTTGATGTACATGGTAAGGATATAAATTAAAGTAAGAAGCCTGCGAGCTTATCTTTTTCTTATATAAACTTCCCTTAGCTCTAGCGATAATTAGTCTAAGAGAAGAAGCTTTTGCGTTAAGTATGAGTTTATAAACCGACATTACGCATTATTATGTTAAATCTACAGGATTATATTACACCCACAGGGAACACCAATCACTAACACGAACGGACGACAGGAGACAATCACTTTGCGATTATTGAAGCGTCATGAAACGATTTGGTTACGATTAATGACGACACCTTCTCTTCTCTAATCCTGCATTAAAAATGTATTAAATACTGTTTGCGTGGAGGGAGTATTAGTAACGAACGGGGTACACTCACAAATAAGTATTAGTATTATATTATAGCACAATACTTTGTCCAGACTTGTGCATTAGTTTAAAGCAAACTTGAACAGGCTTGCCTCCAGCCACCAAGACTGAACTTTCATTTCTTAAAAAGTGACAAACAAAAGCCAATGGCCTTGACAACGGCGTGGTGCTACGGCATAAGAGTAACGATGATCCATTATAGTGCAGATTTCATTTAATTTAACGTAGATTAAGCACCTCAGGAAACCCTATAGAAAGGCAAAATAAATCAATTAACCAGAACGAGGATCAATGTGAGCCAGTCACTCAAAGGGATGGGCAGAAGCGATAGAAAGAGATAGGTACTATGTATTCAAATCAAGATATAAAAACAGCTGTATATTTAAACCCTTAAGACTGATAAGCTTTTTTCATTTTCGGAAACGTACACTAGCTGTCATTTGGATTAGAAGTTGTTAACCCTACATTAGTTTTTAAACCATATAACATACAGCGATGTGTAAGTCAAAGATCATCTATGAAGAAAGCCGTCCATCTTCGTTTTATGTCATTTGTCTTGACAGTGCGTCCTCGAATAATAACAAATGGTAACAAGAAAAATAGAGGGTCCTATAAAGAAGATGAAAGACTTCTCCTCGCGTGTGAAACCGAGGGAGGAACAACTCCAAATATAAGGTGGATGAAAAATGGAGAACTAATGCCTGGAGAACAAAAAGATTATTTCTCAGTCGAGAATCTGTCAAAAAATGATACCGGAGTATATTCCTGTTGTGCTTATTATCCGAACGGTAATGTCAGCAGCATGGAGGTGCTCGTGCGAGTGCAATGTAAGTGCAAGTTATTTTTATTAAAAGGCAACGATTGAGTAAACTATTAAGATGTCATTGTTGCCAGAGACGAAACGTCGCTAAAATATTGAGTATTAATGTGAAGGTTTGGAGAAACTCGCTCGCTAAACTAGAACGTACCGAAGGTCTTTTTAACATCTTCGATCGTCTTCACCTCTTTATTCTTCTCAGTGTAATAACTTCTACTGTTAACATCTAGCTCTAAGTAATTACTTATAACTCCCCCTAAATTCCTACTTGCTTAAAAGCCAAATATCAGTGGTTTTGTAACCAAAGCTTGGGTCAGTTGACCGCGTCCCTGAACCTTAGCCGCTGTAATCGGTAAGAAGCTACAAATCAATGAAAAACTAAAACGCTGATTAACAACCCGAAACAGAAACCTAATCCAGCTTTAAAAAGCCAAGGTCAGCTTTGATCTACCGCCAAAACACAACCACCTGACAAAGCCAAGCCAAGGGTGTTCCAAAAATTAAAAGTATCTAAGCGAGCTAAGCATGAATTCAAGTTCGAGTAAAGTCAAAAGATCAGAGTAGGAAAACACCCAGGCATGTGGACAAAATCCTAATAACGAGGATGCATGAGCTATGCTTGTGTGCTTTTTCTTCTCATTTGAGTTTACTTCTATGACTGGCAGATCATATCAAAATACTTCACAATAATGATGATAATTGCGCAGAGTAACTGTGGCGCCAATCTTAATTGGTGCATTGGGAGCTATGATCTCTAAAAACAAGGAAGAGTGGTTGGCGGAGACTGCCGTCACGTGTCGTTTAGTGTGACGTGATATCAAAGGAAGACTCCAGCAAACCATCCAATCGAAGATATGTTCAATGACGATAATAATAATAATAATAATAATAATAATAATAATAATAATGCTGATGATGATAATAATAATATTGCTCGTAATAAGAAAAATATTATAATTATTATTATCATTACTTCTAACTCAGCGTACTTAATGCTATTTTAACCAAAAAACTGTTGCAGATGCCCCAAGGGTCAACACTCCTTCCACGAGCACTATTCTGTCATGGAAAGGTAATCCCACCAACTTAACATGCTCAGCAATGGGGGATCCTGCTGCTAACTTTTCATGGACAAGAGCTGACGAGAAGCTGCCGGCTGAACAGTCTCAAACTTCTACCAACACAAGTGTTTTGACGATTATTCCGTTGGCAGATTCTGATTTTTCAAACTACACTTGTACAGCATATAATGGCATTGGTAAAGACAGCAAAGTATTTATACTTAAACCGATAAGTAAGTATGGTTAATAATTGCAATTAAACTTGGCTAGAATCATATTCTCAGAATAACGCTGTTGCTTCAAAACGATCCTACTCTTGCACAATAAAATATATATTTTTATTTTTTGTGTGTATTTTTCTCATCTGTCAACCTAATCAAAGTAGCCTTGCCTGACCCTCATTTCTTTTAAAATGGCCATAAGCAAAAAGGAAAATTTTTGAGTTAAGGAACACTCATTAGATATGACTAAGTATAAAGAGCGATAAAAATGCCTCCGATTAGTTCAATAGTTAAGTCTGCTTATTTGGTTCTGACTATACTTATTCATGATGGAGTAACTGCTACCATATTAGGCCCCTCTCTCTAATATAATAAGCCCCCCTCTTGTTTAAGCAGCCCATCCCCTCCCTCTTATTATTATTCACTGTAAATGATAGGACTGTGTAAATCAATTACGACTGTCAGGGGTCTATTGCGACTGTAAAACTTTGTGTGGACTGATTAGGGATGGTTTATTCACCAACCGAAAGTTCTGATTTGTTTTTCATCCTCGGCTGTATGATCTCCAACGGCTTTTACTTGAGCTTTCCCACTTTGCATTCTGGTTCTTTATGGAGAACTGATATCATCTTTTTTGCTAAATTGAATAAGCCCCCTCCCGTAAAATGAGCCCCCTGTATCTATTAAGCCCCCTGGGCATTAACAGAGGTTTACGGTATTTCAAAGGTCGCCTTGTGTTGTTTCTGTTATAGGCCCGCCAAGTCCACCAATAATCACCCATATCGACGTAACTCACAACGCCATCAAAGTGGAATGGAATATTCCAACCACTAAGCAAACTACGCCAATTACGGAATATGTGTTAAGAATAAAGAAGCTAGGAGACTTCACATCCATCGAAGTTACTTTTCAGGCAAAGAGTAATTACTATATTTTAGGAAATCTGACTCGAGGAACTAATTATACAGTTTGGTTGTATGCAACTAACGTGGCCGGTAGAAGCAATGCTTCAGAGGGAAAGCAAGTAGAAACGCTAATTAATGGTGAGTAACTTCCAACACGCAGGGAACACTTTTGTCATGGCTACTGCATGAAATCAAAATTGACCAATCAAGCAGAGGATTTTTCCCCTTCTCCGTCTACCCTCATAGGTTATACGGATTTGTTTGTCTGCTTTATGGCAAGTCAAATAATTCTTTTATCCAGACGCTAATGCAACTATCAATGAAAACTGGTCGTGACTAGATGTACAAATTTAGACACGAGCAATAAACCCAGGGGGGAGTGGGTGCGAGTAATGTATTATTGGATAAAAAATGCGAGACCCACATAGTCGAAAAAAAGGTTCCCTGAAATGTTTATCGGGCCTGTAATATAAGAAATACAGCCATTCAAAAACTCCAAAATTTAGTTAGAATACATACATGTCCTGACTTTGTGTCTGGGAAACCATACATCTCTTAGTAAATTTTCAAGTACATAATTAGCTGTACCTTGTTCAATATTAGCTTCATTAACACCAGAGTTGAGATTCTTGCAAAGAACTGTGTGTGAAGTAGTACCCAGTGCTCCTCGGTTTAAAGTTAGGCAATGGATTGTGCAGAATGCTGCGTTATGCGTCCGAGGCTTTAATGCATTCAAAGAGAATTACGGCTGGGTGCTAGGGGATAAAGGAAGTGCGAGTCTGAATCCTGCTATGAGCGTGACTTTCTGTGCGTTTACAGCTTTATTTCTTAGTAGGTTTTGCAATAGCTAGGATATAACTTTTGTAGAGACGACACTTTTGAAAAAAGGAGATAAATCACGAGAGAAAGCGGTGGCAATACAGCAGCCGGCTCCTATTTGCTTGAATATGACTTCAATGTACAATACTCCTTAGGTGAGAAATTTTCGTTGCAATTGAAATTAGAGCTCTTTTAAAAAGGAACTATACGTTTCAAGGAAAACTATGTCTTCAAGACGTCGCAAAGTCATTGAAACTCTTGGACAATATACTGAAATACTTCTTAAACCTTTTCGGTAACAATTGTGGGGAAAACCTAAGTATGAACTTATTGTAATCCTTATTGCCAGGTTGTTTATAGATAAACCAATAAAGGAATATTGTCCATAAAAAAAAACTTTCCGCATTTTTTTAAACACAGAAACCATCTCTTGAGTTGAAAAATTAATCACTACCCTCGAGTTCGTTTCATTTATTTGATTGTGTATTACAGGAGAGTATTGCGGGAGAGGTATGTTAAATTCATTTGGGGTCTTCAGTGAAAATAAGAGTTGGGAATCCTATTGAATTTCAATTTTGCAGGTTGTCCAGGTCCACCAAAGCTGCATTTTTCCAAAGTTAACATAAACTGCACGACTTTTCTGGCCACATGGAGATCTCCAGGTGATAACGGAGGAGTGGAAGTTAAAGTCAACCGATTTACTGTGTGGTATCGCTTAGTGGTTACTAACAATACCAAAGGAAAATGGCTGAAATTTAATACTACAAAGACGAACTACTACGTAACGCTAGAATGTTGCTCAACTTATGAGATCATGGTAACAGCCTGGAAAAGAAATTGTCCAAGCATGGCTGATCCAGACAACGCCGCAAAAGTTACGGTGCTAAAAGGTATCTTTGAGTTCTCATTTAACGTATCTAGATTGGACAGAAGGGAAGCAGGACTACTATTACTTATAATTTAATCGATTAACTGTTTTATTTCATTGTAACTCACGATTTTATACATGCCTACTCTTGAAGGGCAATGTTAGTCAATAAAGAATGTTTCCCTTTTTTAGATCTCCCTTGCAATGACAAAATTAGGAGTCAAGGTCTACAAGGTAAGTGAGCTTCTTGTGCTATGAACTAACCCAACAAAACATATATTAAACAAACGAAAAAAATAACATTCTTTTACTTATCACCCGTTAGGTTTTTATCAGAGTTACCACTGTCAGATTTCACGCAGTTTACCAATGAAACAGGTTGTTCTTAGGTAAAAGTACCATGATATTAAAACTATAAAGGAATAAAGGGAGATGTAAAGAATCAACCATAAGAGGACACAGAAAAAATCTGAGCCCCAGATGGGATTCGAACCCACGATCCTCCGTGTTGTAGATCGGATGCTCTAACCTCTGAGCTACTGAGGACTCGTTGGCGAGCAAGGGTCATTTTTGTGGGTTGGACTTCCGAACCGTATCTCGCAGTCACACAGTCCATCACAAGCAACACATTAATGCTTAACTGTATCACACAGTCACATCAATAGTACGAAATGTCTCACCCATAAAGGAGCCTCCAACCAACCAACCTATGCCTGCGAGATGCGGTTCGCAAGTCCAACCCACAAAAATGACCCTTGCTCGCCAACGAGTCCTCAGTAGCTCAGAGGTTAGAGCATCCGATCTAGAATACGGAGGATCGTAGGTTCGAATCCCATCTGGGGCTCAGATTTTTTCTGTGTCCTCTTATGGTTGATTCTTTACATCTCCCTTTATTCCTTTATAATATTAATATCAGTAGCATAGGTTGATATTAAACTGTCAGAGAAACATCCTTCTTCTTGTTCCTCTGAAACAAGTTTAACCTGTATGTTTGTCTCTGTTCAGGATATAGAAGCTTTAGTCGAGAAGACCCAGATATGAGAGTTGTTAATTTTTCACCAGTAGCTGCAGTCCTGATTTTACCTATCATAGCTGTATTGGTATGTCTGTCCTGGTCAAATATATGCAAGAAACAACATTTCAATGGTACGTATTTAATACCTAATAAAGAGGTCTCCAAATGAAACTAAATACACCTACCAAATGAAATAAACCATTATATATTTGTGTGTCTTTTTTTTGAGAAGTCGATTTCAGCTTCTATGTGAAAGATACGACCGGAATGACCGGACAAAACCAAGGTCGCACATTGTTAATCAGGTAATGTAACTACAAGTGTTTGAACACAGTCACAAAAACTGTGGCTTATCAAGGATGACAAAGGAACGAATGTTGTGGTAACAATCAAATGTGCCGGTCTGCGTAACATGTTCAGAAATGAGGGATAACGAGATGCAAGATCTTTACCATCATGTGTAGTCCAACTTACAAAGTGTCTTTGTCTATTAAAGGCCATACAAAAGGAAGTAATCCTGTCAAGTGCGAATTAATCAAAATTGACAAATAACCCAATCATATACTGAGGTACACTGTACTTGACTGCATTTCTGAAGATCCTACTGTTTCTTACCAACATGTTGAAGCCACTAATGCAACAATTGACCACAAATGTGATAAAAATTGACTACAAATATAATAATACACTCAAATGTAATACAAATTGACCAAAACGGCAAATACTATTCAAATCGTTTATACTCGAAAGAACGCCGCCCTCAATATAACTCGGACAATATCCTGTTCGAAAGAGCGCCACCCCAAACAAACTTGGCATGCTTTTAATCGAAAAGCAATGAGTGCCGCGGCGCTCTATCGCAAAATACAATGTTTTACTGCAATTAAACGAAAGGGCGCCGACCAGTCAAGTAAGAGTCATACTTGATAGGAAGAAAAATGAATAAACAACTCGGTACTCTTTCGAATTAAGATATTTTTCTCCTGCATTCAACCCATTCAAGCGAGAGTGCCGCATTTCCCAGCAATACAGCAGCGCTTATTAATTTTTGTTCATCAAACCTTTTAATATGTCAGGAGCCGAATATGTTAATTATCATTGCTGATGTAAGCTAGAAGCATACTGATGTCAGTTTAAACCTTGTTTTGTTTTAAACTTTCATTTCTTCTAAAAAGTATGGTATTAAACGAAGGGATGAAAATAATATCTCCAAAAACAACTCTGAAATTTTATTTATCGTAGAGCACGTGATACTCCCAATAAGTGATCAAAATCTATTATGTAAGTCGAATTGCAAGGTCTGTAAGGTTGCGTATTAAACGTCAGTCAATGAAAAATCGCACACACCAAATTGTAAGAAAAAAAATCGGGAAAACATTTGTAGAATATTTTATTTTTTCGAAAGATCGCCGCGGAGCTGATTGATTTTCGTACTTAAAGATGCCAAGATGATTTGAGGGCGGTGCTCTTGCGACTGAATGCAATGGAATATTGTTTTCTATATTCGAAAGAGCGCCGCGGGCTTATGTTTGTCCGACTTAAATTGAGGGCGGTGCTCTTTCGAGTAAATACGGTGTGGATAGTGTTTGACGATTTGACGGTTTTATTACCTTTGTGGTTAATTTGTATTGCATTTGAAGGCATTATTACATTTGTGGTCAATTCTTATTGCCTTTGAGGGCTATATTACTTTTGTGGTCAATTATTACATTTGTGGCTTCAAGTAAGGGTTATCGGCCTGAAGCGAGGGTTTATGTGATTTATTCCCCTCGCGCGTTCCGAGGGCAACGCACGAGGGGAATAAATCATATAACCACGAGCTAAAGGCCGATAAACGGCTTATTTTTACATTGGCGAGGATTCCTCAAGGGTTGCAAAAATACAATGACGAAAAATGCCTCTATTGTTCATCTTTCTTTTCTTTTTCAACACTCCATGCTAGCACTGTTGGCATTCATAAGTTCCTCGGTTGTTTAATTATGTTAGTTTCTCAAAGTCGCATTTCGAATTAGTTGAGTCGTAGTGAATGCTAGAAACAGCCTAAAGAGCCTAGCAGTGTCGAGCGATGCAGAGTCAAATTAAAGCAGCTTTCGAAAAAAAATTTTGAATCTTCATTTGCGGGTGCAGACAACGAGCAAGCAGTTGACAATTTCAATTTTCGCACGAAGGATCTTTCGACCTACCTGCATGTTTACAGATAAAGAAGATTCCGGGCGAGGGATCACTACTGTAACTGACAAGAATATCACCAAACACAAAGAGGTCAAGTACATGTCTTCATCGAGTAGACAAGTTTGGGAGGACTGTTTAAAGAACGGAACACCTTACCATGACAGCGACACTTTCCTGGAACTGTAGAATATTAAAGACGCTGTCAATAGCAATTCAATTTCGGACTGTCGTTCTGGCTGTGGAAATCGATGAACCAACAACTAAGAAAATCCGTGAATGTGGCGCAAAAGAAAAGCATCTCAGTTTAATTTTAGTAATTATAGCGTCGTGTTTAATATTTCCAATAAATGTTTGTAAATTTTTTTTTTTTTTTTTTTTATGAAAAGCTAATTAAAATGCGAGGGGATTATGTTTTAATATGCGAGGGGGATAAGTGACTTATCCCCCTTGCATATTAATACATAATCCCCTCGCATTTTAATTACCTGGTCATTAGCCAGGCTCTTCCCCGCACCTAGCTTTTCAGACAGTTGATTCGGGGGTTATGTAATATATTCCCCCCGAAAAGAACAAAGGAATCCGAGCTTATGTAAAAATAAGTAGTTAATATGCGTGTCGATGACTCAACAGCCTGTGCTCATCTTCTGGTCATCACCAGAGTAAGAAATATTATGGAAATATATAGATTTTGCCAGGGCTAAAAGTGAAGCTCTCGATAGTTTGCTCCAACAAAATATAAAATCGTGTAATGCTAAGCGGCGAAGGCACCGAGACCGGTGAAAAAACAACAATAGGTCTAATTAGCAAAAAAGCAACTTGGAACGTGCATCACGCTTTTTTTGTACATTTCTTTGCCCTTGTTTTGCACGACTACAACGTGAAAGTTCCAGAAACGTCCTAGTTACACGTTTTATAAAGGAAATGTCGTACGTGTTCTTGTTCTTTTTTTTTTTTCACTGCGGCTCATTTTCACCTTGGTGGCCGCTAGTATTTCTCTTTTTCTCACCGCAGCGACAAACTTTTCATGTTGTCCTTCCAACAAAGAATGTCCTTCTTTTTTTATGTAGCTCTAGCTCTCTGTCGCTCTTTTTCGCGTTGAGCTTCGCTGGCCTGCCGCCTCTTTTCTCTTTTTCTCTGTCTTTCTTTTAATCTGAGCTTAATACTTAAAACAACACGGATACAAAAACAATTTTCCGTTTTCCGTTTTCGTCTTTATTAGAGACCTTTAGATTCGAGGACGAGAACGACTACGAGTACGAGATTTGATTTAAAGTTTCTTTGCGTATTGTCATAAAATAGACACCCAGGAATTCTTCATTGTACTTTTTTTCACCAGAAAAGTTAGCACTGTTGTCGTTATTGAAGGAGGTTAAGACATCTCTCGACTGAAAAATGCTATAACTTCTATCATTTGATAGCTTGTTTCCGCCACTTCGACATTCTTGCTAAAAGTCGTAGTAGAATGACGACGGCTACCACGTTTTCCCCCCAAAATGACGCTGCCTCACGCGCGCCCAACACTTAGTATAGAGAAAATATCGTACTCGTAGTCGTTCTCGTCGTAGAATCTAAAGGTCTCTATTGACTCTTTAGTTGTCTCTACTTCACAAGACGCGGGTGGCTATGCGACTTCCCGCCAAAATAAAATGCCAAACGGTCGGGCGTACGGTCACTTGATTACCAAAATTTCTCTGATGGGTAGATTACCACACCTGTTTAGGTATGGGGCTACGTTCGCGCGCACGTGGAGCTCCGCCATTAAGATCAAGTAAAAAACTTGATTGATTCATTCAACTGCTTTTTTTGGTCGTCCGTCAAATAAGGCCGTCACGTTATGTATTTATTGTCGGTGAACACTGTGAACGTGAGTAGTGCTTTGCAATCCCTTCTTTGCCACTCAAAATAGATGGAGTGTGTTTCAGACAAATTTGTTGGTTTTGTTCTTTCAGTTCAGATTGCTAGTTTCTAGCTGATTCAGTTAAGAGCCCATAACTCCAAAAAAAATTATTACGTTAACTGAAAGAACACATTTACTACAAGAATTTCGGAACAAAATGAGATTTTTTAGAATTTTTAAAGTCTAAATTTCTTTGGTACAGCCGTTCCACCAATAGCACGAAATAGCCAGGCTCATATGTGTCGTCATAGCGGAGGTCTCGCGCGCAAAGCGCGCCAGCGGAGCACCATGGGTAAGAAAATGAAGTAATCTAACCATCCGAGAAAATTTGGTAATCACGTGACCGTACACCGACCGTCCGTCTGCATCACAGGCATACCAATGTAAAATAACTCAATCAACAGGTATGGCAACCCAAATGCAACTCGAAGTTATTTTGGCGGGAAAGCGCATAGCCACCACAACTAAAAAGGCAATCAACGGAAAGCGAAATTTTTTTCTGTATCTTTGTTGTCTAAAGTATTTAGTTTGGATTAATTGTCATGTCCACAAAGTTGGAATATAGAGCAGGAGAAAGACAGAGAAAAAGAGAAAGTAGGCGGCACGCCAGCGAAGCTCAACGAGAAAAAGGGCGATAGAGGTCAAGAGCGAGAGATAAAAAACAAAGGAGACATTTTTTTGTTGGAAGAACAACATGAAAATTTTGTAACGGCAGTGACAAAATGGGAAATGCTAGCGGCCACCAATGCAAGGTGAAAATGAGCGGCAGTGAAAAAAAAAAGTGAACGAGAACACGTACGACATTTCCTCCATAAAACTTGTGACTAAGAAGTTTCTGGAAGTTTCACATTGTAGTCGTGCAAAACAACGGCAAAGAAATGTACAAAAAAGTGTGCTGCACGTGCAAAGTTACTTTTTTTGCTAAATAGAGACCTATTGTTGTTTTTTACCATTCTCCGGCGTTGCCTTCGCCGCTTGGTATTACACGATTTTATTTTTTTTTTTAACAGACTATAAATATTTTCGAGAGCTTCTCTTTTAGCCCTGGCTAAATCTATATATTAAGACATAAGTACAGGATTGTTTGCCTTCTTATCCCTCATTTCGAGTCGACAGTGTCGTTGCAACTAACTGAAACGAATCTTACTTGCTTGACAGCTGTTTCAGTTTGTGAAATGGAAAATATTTCTAGAACTCCAATTCAGTGTTTACTTGTGCTTAAGTCACGTGTCTCCTTATATAGTTACGTCATAATTCTTTAATCCACGTCGCAGCTCCTTTGTTTTCCAATGGCATCCGACGTAAGACTAAGACGAATGGAGGCTCAAAATGAAGACAAATTTCAACATTTCAAAATATTCTAAAAAAAATCTAGTTGTGTTAGATGCTCTCACAGGAATGCGTAGTTTTCAATAAAAAAAATTAGGTTATGGGCACTTAAATGAATCGTTTGTAAGGTACTCTTAGCTATGATGTTTACCCTAAATGGTATTTGAGTTGGCAAAGAGCCGAAAAACGCACGATTGACTCCCCGGAAGTATTCGTTAACAACTGAGTTTTGTTGCCTCAGCAGCTGGTTTAAAATGTCAATGTCGAACTGAATAAGTATCAAAGTGAACATGATCTTCGCGGTAGAATGAACCGGTAATGTAGGAGCTGCTCGGAAAGTCTTTCCTGATTCGTTCTTATAAACAATGGTAATTCATTGTTTACCATTGTTTTCCATTGTTGTCCGGAAAAAATCTAGGCTTGACCAGGAATCGAACCCTGACCTTTGCGATGACCGGACACAACGCTCTGCTATCCATTGAGCTAATGAAACCAATTGCAGAGCAAGTATTTATCCACAGTTTAAAATATGATCCGTTTCGAATATCTCATTTCATTCTTAATTAGTGTTGCCTTACCATGTTTTAGTTGTCCAGATTAGTGGCATGGAAGGGCCTGGCGAGAGTGAGATGGAAGAGCTAGTTAGGTAAGCATTTGTACGAAAGGTTAAGGCACGGTCGCCTTATATCTTAGTAAAGAAAAGGTATTTATCCTGTATCAAGAACACACCATATACACAAAGGGCAAAAATTCTCCTGGATTTACTACTTTTTATGTGATTAACATCAAATAGTGATAATTCGTCGAGTATTTTAGCTATAGTTGCCTTATCTTCACTACAGCACCCCAGTCCCACATGTTCCTACATGGGAGTTTCCACTCTGTAACTTAGCAATTGAGAGAGTGATTGGTAATGGTGCCTTTGGAGTAGTTTCTAAAGCATACGCTCGTCATTTGCCTGACAAGCCTGATGAATGGACCATTGTCGCAGTTAAAAGCTTGCAAGGTACAATAAATTCCAATATATCATTCCAATTAAACATACTGACTATTGACTCTTCTTAGGTAAATTGTCAAACGCACTTACCATGTAAACCAATGTTATAAAACCTATATTCCATACTATATACTACTTTATTATAAACCCTATATTCCATGGTTTCCAATTTGGTGTCTTAAGAATCCGCAAATGTTCTTTTATTTTCACTTCCAATGATTAAATTTACCTTACTGGCACTTGTGAACAGATGATGCAACTGAAAGCGAAAGAAAAGATTTGGTCTCCGAGCTGAACCTTCTGAAGAGACTTAAGCCGCACCCCTATATTATAAGACTGTTAGGCTGCGTTACAACAGAGCCAGGTAAATAATTGACTTTTTTCTTTTACCATTCAGTTAATTAACTTGTTATATTTAAACTTCGAATTCTTAGTGCACGTATCGAATTTGCAAGCTGTTAAATGGTGCATCTATTTTTAGTAGTTACTTGCTAAAGATTATTGTAAAAGATTATTTTCCTTGGATGAACAAAACAAGTATTAGTGACGTAGTGATACGTTATATATTCCTTAGCAGTTGATACATCTTCATCGTGAAAGAGGTTGTGTATTTTAGAGGCTGTAAATTCATAGGGGACAACGAACTGTTTTTCGAGCATAGACTATAGTTTTTAATCCGGAACTGTTAGTGATAAGCTTTCCTATCTAGCCGGATTTTTGAAAACGAACAAAGCGAAACCTGTGTTCAGCTAAATTCAGCTAATTCTTTTATAGATGGTCCGTTTGTTATCATTGAGTATGTACCGTATGGAGATCTGCTTGGATATCTTCGGAGAAGTCGAGGAGCAACTGACCGCTATTACGATGAACCTGAAATCGAACCCACGACAAACCTGACATCACAGCAGATGTTAAAGTATGCATGGCAGATATCTGAAGCAATGCGGTATATCGCATCGAAAAAGGTACATGGTGCTCTTCATTGGTCATGACTTGTGGGAAGAACATGGACCTATCCGTCACAACATCAGTTTTTAAATGCGATCCCTAAAAAAATAGTGAAACAACTTAACATAAACCCATTGCAATGGACAGTGATTGGATGAGGTTGAGTAGATATAAATGATTCTGCGAATCATAATTAGTAAAGAAAACTGGTTATGAAAGCCGACAAACATCAAAGTTGAAAACTACGGTGCTGTAGTTTATGTTGGAAGCTCCCTGACCGCCCACAGTCCTTTGCTTTTTGTTTACAAATTGTGACTGAATAAATTAATACGATGTTTTTATTGATCAGCAAGTTCAAAATTAGAGGAATGCTATTGAACGTTGTGCACTGTCAGGTTAGAAAAGCTAACAAAAAAATATAGCAAGAGAGTCTAACGGATTTCATAACCATTCCACTTTTTAATAACTATGTGCAAATCGGGGGAGGGATATTTCTGCCCTTTTAAACTCTCTATCATATTCAAAACATTCAGTTTTAAGGTCAAGACAGTGTTTCCTCAACGCAAATTTTTTAACACATTTGTTCGTCCCTCGGTTGTTTGAGGAAATGTAGTGGCGTTTTTTTTCTTAGAGATATTTTCCATGAGACCTTGGCACCCTCCAGTTTCCTTGTGTGTGCTTATTACCTTTTTGAGACATTGATTCGGCTGCTCTGGGCTTCCCCTGTGGTATGTTCAGATATCTTCCGCTATCATTTACGAGCTCTGTTTTGCCAAAATGGCTGGGCCTCCGAGCTCCTGTCTTTGTATGGCGTCAATAGTCCAGCAATTTTTTTATCATTAATGATTATCTTAATAAATCCTCCAAATTTGGTTAGCGCTAGCAGGTTATGAAAAATGAGCCGAGGAATGTAAGACAATAATGTACTTACAAATATTTCGAACGGCATACTGCAATTTTTTTCAAAGGATTATGCCATGGCCATTCAACTGATTTATCGGCGTTTTTTCCGTGAAAGTGAAGCCAAACAGTCATTCCGGATTGTATTAACCAATAGGCCAAAAGCAAGCATTTCCATATCAATGGCTTCGCACTCAGCCTTGCTGTGAAGTAGATTTCATCATCTCGATTAGGTTGGTAAAAGCCGGTTAGGCAACGCACCAACCACTTACAAAATACAAAAAAATATAACAATTAAAATTACATGTAACAATAAAAAATAAACAAATTAACCAAGGTACTTCTTAAATTCTTCAAGAGACGAAGGGCATATCGGGGAGGAGCTGATGCCAGTCTCTAGAAGTTGTTGGAAAAAACAAAAACTTGAACACACCTTTCTTTTTTTCTTGATTTTTGGGGCAACTGGGGAATAGCCTACATTTTTGTTTACATACCTATTTTGAATTAATTTAAGAATATTTTGCAGCAGGCTCAATTCAAATAACAGCTAAAGGTGACAGTGGTACAATTAAGCCTCATCTTAACTGTAGTAGTCTTATGTCTGTCGTTTCACTGGCTTTACTCATCAGTCAGTGTAACAATAAACACTTAATGACTGGTGCCTAGGGAAACAGTTATTTCGTTTCCCGAGAATCTCAACATTGAGATTCGAGGGAAACAAAATAAACTGTTTCCCTAGGGATTAGTCTTTAAGTGATTTGTTACATGGCTGGAAATTGGGGGCTGGAAATTCATTAAACCTCGCTGTAACGAATGTCGTCGGTCAACATTCGCGGTCTCAGACGTCATAGATTTTGCAATGTTGCCTGCTCAGGGATTTTGGCGGGAACCAGTTTCATTGTTAGATGCCATGTGACCTGGAAGTAACCAATGTTGTGATTGTTCACAACATAGATTCTTCACAGAGACTTAGCAGCAAGGAATGTACTGGTTGGTGAGAATCACAGGTGCAAGATTACTGACTTTGGAATGGCTCGAGATGTCAATTTGAAAGAAATTTATGTTCCACGATCTCAGGTATGCGGCTTCGACTTGATCTAAGTCTTCAGTTTCCAAATATATTATAAAAGTGGGGACACCTTGAAGCTTCCTTTCTGACTGTACATCTGATCCATGATAAGTACATCAATATGAGGTCAACTTATTGTTTCCAATTTTCAAAATTCAAATAACACTTAATAGACATATCTCTGCTTTTAATCTAAATTTATTAAAGAGGCCATTTATTTCAACATTTTTTGTTAGGGTCGTATCCCAGTGAAGTGGACAGCAATTGAAGCAATGACAGGGGCAATGAAATACTCCATCCAAAGTGATGTGTATGTATTAAGTGAACCTAAATTCGCTGTGAAATATTTTCTTCATTCTATTTACTAAAAACTGAGATAAATAAGATATAATATGCGTGGTGTGGAAGTCAATGTCTGTTAAATGGCTCTGTTTAGACCTTAAACAGAGCTCTTCAACAAAGACTGAGTTCGACATTCACATTCTCATTTCTGCATTCTCATCTGAGGGCTTTCAAAGTATTATACTAAGAAAAATTGCGCCTTTTGCACTACCAAGCAAACGTTTTCAGAGAAACCTTTTTTGGGCAACTGTATTTAACTGAATTGTAACGAAATGATTAAAGAGAAAGGACTTTAAGTTATTTATAGATAAAAAAAATTAATTTGTCGATGTTTTTGCATATATATTTTCCAGATGGAGTTTTGGAGTCGTTCTTTTTGAGATTTGTACTATTGGTACGTCAATGGTCGATTTGCCATTGCCATTATGTCATTATAGTTAATAATAAATCAGGTGTTATTTTTAAACCTATACTATTTGTGGTATCCTTCAACAACATTCTCGTCTCTTCCGTAACCTGGAAATCAAAGGTAGATACAATTTAACTCATATATGAGCCATACACATTGTCAAGAAAATGTTGTGGCGTCGTATTTTCCTAGTTTAGTCTTACGGAAGCACTTATAGTTTACTGTATTTAAAATCAACAGGATCCAAGTAAAAATTTGAATGCACAATTTTAGCACTCAGGCTAAGGTTGCTAATCAACTTAGAAAACGATTTTCTTATATTTCAAAGTTTAAAAATTTACTAGTATTTCAGAATGTCGATAGTTTATGAAGATCATTGTGAGAACTTTGCTTTGCAGGAGCTGAGCCTTATCCAGGAATAAGTCCATGGACGCTGCCGAATGTTTTACTCAAAGGATACAGAATGCCAAAACCAGAATATGTCAGGGATGAATTGTATGTTTAGAATGTCTGGTTTAAGTAATTTTAAAAAAACATCCTCTTAAGCAACATTGCACTCATTTGTGATGTCGTAGTCTGTCTCACCCTCATCACTTCCATCGAATTCAGCTGTTATGAATCCTCACTTTTGAAAGTGACAGAACATGCTACTTTACATACAGGTACGCTATTATGATGGACTGCTGGGAAACAGAGCCTGAAAACCGACCGTCATTTGATTCACTTTGTAATAAGATCAAACGATTGGAGATGGGGGCTAACCAGGTCAGAAATCCATCTATCTGATTTAGAGACTTATTTAATCGATACAAAGTAATATTTTTCCATTGAAGCTTGCTACATAAACGGTTCTCTGATTCAATTACTAGATGATGTCTTACAAATCTTCAGCTGTTGGGAAAAAAGAAAAAATAACTCACACCGAACGGAAGACCGTAATTTTTAGGGAGTTATTATAACTCCAAAAATGGAGTAAAAATTTTAGGTACAGGATAACCCCTTTTTGGGGGTTATTTTCACTCCTAATTTAACTCCGAATTTGGGGTCATTTTTACTCCTGAAAAAGAGTTCTCTTTACTCCCAGTCTGGAGTTAAAATCACTCCGAAATGGGGTTACTTGTACTCCTTACATGGGTTGTTTTTACTCTTTTTAGAGTTAATTTAACTCTGAAAGTTGAGTAAAAATTTTAGGTACAGGATAACTTCTTTTTGGGGGTTATTTTAACTCCTCAATATCTGGGGTCACTTTTACTCCTGGAAAAGAGTTCTTTAAACTCCTTTTTGGAGTTAAAATAACTCCACGAAAAATAACTTCACTGTAAGGAGTTAAATTAGCCCCACTAGAGGAGTTATTATAACTCCCTGAAAATTACGGTGAAGGAAACGTGGAAAGGACAGGGAAATCTTTTTTAAAAGATTGTACCGATTATCCTGATCCAAGAAAGCACGCCAGAAAGCTCCTCCCTTCTAGCCCAGAGAAATTGGGATTGAATTGACCTTTCTAATCTAATAATTTGCTCTTTTCGTCTTTCAGAACTATGTGAATATAAGAGACTGTCTAGAAGCTCATGAAAATGAATTAGCGTAAAACACCTATGGTCCACGATTCATGCAGGAACAAATCACCAGGGACGTTTTCATACAGGAGGGAGGGAGGGACCGCAAGAGTCCTCACTTCTTGCGTAAAAAACTTGGGGATCGGTGGTGGTCTAGTGGTCAACACATTGTAATTCGGATGCGTTGATTCGGATTCAAGTCTTTTCCACCCGTTGTATCCCTACAAAAAAAAAACCTCCTCCACATTAACTCTCCCTTCCAAGGCCTATAAATGGTTACTGCGGGTATTTCTACAGAAAGCTGTAGCGTCGGGGGTAAACCTCGCGGTCTTTATACATGTAGAAGGGATCGCAGTATTCCTAATATAATGATAATATAATATAAGCGCTTGACACTACTGAAAAGAAAGATTCTCTCTGGTCGGTTTGGCCTGACTCGCTCGAAGAGCGCTTTATCAATTTTTTTATGCGAGAGACAGAAAAAAAAAAGCTGATCATTCTCCCTGTTTCTCACCTATTGACGCATTACAAGAAAGTATATGGGTTTGTTACCAGTGAGACTAGAGTTCTGAAAAACCCTTCTAAAATTGTTACAAGCTCAGTTTTTTGGAATGGGTTTAAGCAAGCCTTGTCTTTATCGAAAAAGCGTAAAAAATTGATAGTCATGGAGCATTTGTACCATAAGTATTATAACTATTGCCAAAATGAAGTTTTGAAGCCTGGTAATTGTTCACTCTTGAAACAATGGAATCATTTACAAACATTCGATAAAGTAACAAAAAGTCCTTGTATTCTGTACGTAAGGTCGTAAGTTAATAAGTTAAAATAATGTTAATAATAATAATAATAATAATGAATAATAATGATGATAATAAAAGATTTTCAGGGTTATGAAGCAGAAGTAGTCATAAATGTTTGTAGTGCAATTATCGCGAATCTGGGTTCGATTCTGGGTCAGGTTCAATGCCGCGTTGCTGACATTCTTCCTTTCCAGCAGTGATCACCTTTGGTAGTGTTAGCCTCGCATAAGACCCAAAATCCCCAGAAAAGAACTTGTTATTATAGCAAACGCAGAGTGATTTATAGAGTGAATTCTCCGATACAAGATTAACCATGATCAAAAAGACAGAGCTGTCGTCTGGTTTAAGTTCTTAGATGAGTATAGTTTTGATTAAGGGAAACAGAAGTGTCATCTTGTTTTTCCTGGGTTGTATACAGCACTGGCGGAAACTTCTGTGACGTGTTCCTTTACAAAATAACTTCTTTTTGTAAACACAAACATACTATGCCATAACTATCAATCTGCAGCAAACAGAATAATAATTGTAATGTTCACCCCAGTTGATGTTGTTGTTGGAGCCTTTCCCTGTAGTAACAAAAAGTTACTTACTGATCCTATAGCCATTATTATTCATTCAAAATATTTCTCCGATTCTGATTGGCTAAAAGCACATGCATAATTCACCATAACTTGCTACTTATGAACAAAATTGAGAGAATTTTGCGATTAATCAACCGATGACGTCAAAAGTGCAGCTTCCCCGCAGGTTAATGCACCGTTAACCGAGAAGACCTGGGGGAGAGTTGAGTGGTTTTGGATGTGAAAACAAAAATGGCGGACAATTGACTCGTCTCAAGATTAAGAACTAGGCAAAATAATAGCTAAAAGCATGGCAAGAACAGCAAGAAGACAACTCGAAGGGCGAAATCCGTATCATATATGAAGAATATGGAGATCTCGGAGGGTGTTATCCGCCTCGGCAGAACACCCTCCTCGATCTCCATAATTCTTCATAAGATACTCAGCCTCATTCATTAATTGTTAAATACCCCATACTTACATTTCAAGCCTTCCTGAGCGGCTTGCATTTATAGCAAAGTGGATAAAATACATGGAGAGATCGCTGCAAATGACAAACGAATGGCATTTACAAAAAAAAAAATACATGCTCGTTATGTTACTAGGCCCGAATTCGTGACGACTTCAAAGACACCTAGGCTTATGCTTTTTCAGGTTTCTAAGTATCATAGTTTGGTGATATCATTAAAAAAACACAAACTCGACAATTTCTGGTAACACACTGATGCATAACATTTATAACCATGCTAGGAAGAGCATTATTTTCCTCTGACTGGTCAAGTATTGACAGCTGACCGCTGAATTGGATTAGTAGGAAAATTGTTGGGCATAATGGAAATACAGAGGTCCTCATAGCAGACGCTTCCTCGTCCTTTGTCCTTTCGTTTTTTTCTCCCTTCTCCTCTATCTGCGCCTCCGCCATGCAGGGTAAGTGCTTTAGATGATGATACAGCATAAACGTCTCCTTCTGCTTCGCAACTCAGTTGTGCTATCGTCGATCTACAAAAAAAATCAATACAATATTTTATTAGTTTTCAAAAGACAATAAAATTCATAAGAGTAAAATGAATTTTTGAACTAATGGAAATTTTTCCCACACATTTTTCTAGAAAAAAATTCAGAAGTCCTTGTGGATCACACCTTTAACAGTTTCAACGCGGAACTCGTCCCTATTTTTTGCCTAACACAGTGGAAGGCAAATCTTAATAGGGCAAATAAGATTATAGTTCTGACATGCCAAGCATTTGTCTCCCATTCCGCCAGTTGTGGTGAAAACCAAAGGTGTAAATGTTCCATGATCAACGTCGAGAACTCTCCTTAGGTAGAGACGCTCTTTCTTGTCCTCATGCATACGGTAGATCTGTTGTAGCTTTATACGATTCAGCATCATTTACAGACCCTCACGTCAATCAATGTAGATCATTGGTGCTCCCAACATCCACGTGCATGAATATCCAATCTCGCATATTGTGCTTTATTAGATCTTCTTTTTAAATGTTCTCCGGAGATGTCTTGGGGGACTGGCTCAGTCTCACTATCACTGCATATCATATTCAGAAGCTCTTTTAGCTCGTTGTGGCGCTGAGTAACAAACCTCCTAGTTTCGAATGATCTACCGTAAACTTCTCTCCCTACGAACCCATGTGGAGCTGGTGTCATCCACTAGCTAGTTTTAGCCTAGTTTAAGGTTTTTCGATACAGTTTTTCAGAGGCCATACCGATATTTTTCAATCGCCTTAAACGCGGTTTTTTTTCCTTGTCCGATCGCTACAAAAATTTCACCAGTAATTGGTTATGGATTGAAATTTGTGAAGATGCAGTTTTAATTAAAATCGATATTTTTATGGCAACGATAAACAAAAAACGTTGAAATTGAAAAAAGCCAAATTTTGTGTGATCTAGACCAGCTACTGAAAATCCAACGCTAGGAACTTACAGTTTGGTGTTTAGCAGACAATCTCCGTAAGAAGTAAAAAATTCTGTATGTTTGAATTCAACTAAAACGAAAATATATTTCAAACCTTAAATTTTCAATAGCCGTGATAGATTATTTGATTAAAAAAAGTCATGAATGACACAAATTATTCTTAAGTAGCGTCACAATGCTGCTTAATATCATATTTTAATGCTAGGAAATTTTGGTTTATTTCGTTCTTGCGATCTTGAAAACTAAACCCGTTTTCTCGCCACCTGAAAAAGTGCAACTTCATTCAAAATTTGGACTTTTATCACTGAAACGACTCGAACGAATTTTTTTAAATCTCTTCACATAATCTTCATAATGTATATAATAATGTCTGAAACTTTCATTAAGATTGATTCACTGCAACACCTTGAAATTTCAAGACAAACCCAACATTCACTGTTTTGACGTTATGCTAATTTTTCCAAATTAATGCGGACAATACATATATCCATGACTAGTATATTTCAGTGTGAGTATTGTCAATGTTTTACATTCAAAATATGCGATAAATTCAAACTAAAACTGAATGTACTAGTTATGCCGTCTAACCAAAGCTTGACAGATTTCAGGCGTCAAAACCCAGGAATAAATTGCAAGTTGTACCTTGTTCTCTAAATCAAAATCTAAATATTATTCTTTCGCCAACAATCAAAAATTAAAAAATTAAAAATGGAAATAAAAACTTAAACTACAAATAAAACTAATATAAACTGCTTATAAAAGATAACCTAGAAGATTTTACCGTTAAAAATAGACAGAGATTACATTCAGTTATTGTCCTCGGAAAGAATGAAAATCTTAAAACATCCTTGTGTCCTTTCGATACAATAAAATTAAAATTATGGCTTCCTTGTGTTCTCCTTTCTCCATTTGGAATCAAATATTCCTTCCATTCCCCCACCTATGACATCATAGCACATCTTATAAATAACGGAGAGCCCTGTGTGTCTTCTCATTGTTTCAAGTGTGTCCCACTTTAATTCTTGCAGCATTCCCCCCACGCTCGCTGTTTGATCGTTATTTCCCGTGACAAAGCGAGCCGAATTTCGTTGTACCCTTTCAAAAGCGACTTTATCTTTCTGGTATTGCGGTTCCCATGCACTACGGGCATTTCATCGTCTCACAGGTGTCGTGTACGCGGTTTCTTTCCACAGAGTGCGTTAAGACATAATTTGCCCTAGATGAGATATTACTTCGATGTGTGGGGACCACCTTAGTTTGTTATCAAGCACTACTCCCAGATAAGGGTAAGAATTACCTTCTCCTAGAATTTCGTCACACGCTTTGATGGATCTCTCTTGGTTGTAAAGCACATGACCTTACACTTTGACATACCTTGAGGAGTTGAATTCCATCTTCGACTTTTGTTGCCAAGCTTTTAATCTAAATAGATCAACCTGAAGATCACCTTCACAACAGATTGTTTCATAAAACAATGCATCATCAGCGAAAAGACTCCCCTTTGAGTTAAGACCATCAGGTGAGTCATTTATATATATTAAGAACAGTAACGGCCCTAAGACCGTTCCCCTCGGACGCCAGATGTCGTGACTCCAGTAGCAGATGAGACCCCCTGCACTGGTACTGGTTCACTGGTACACTGAGTTAGAAACGATTCGAACCGGTTAAGTAGTGAGCAACGAATTCCGTAATACCCAAGTTTCGTGAAAAGACGACGATGAGGAAGTTTGTCAAACGCTTTTGAAAAATCAAGGACTACGGTGTGAGTTGTTTTGTTAGACTGAATGGCACTTGCTATTTCATGAATGGTACATATGAACTGTGTTTCTGTCGATCGTTTTGCCCTAAAGACATGTTGGTTATCAGTGAGCACTCCATATTACCACAGGTGATTCATAACATAGCAGTGCATAATGAGCTCAAGTACTTTTGAAGCGATGCAAGTATGTGATACGGGCCTATAGTTTGATGGATCCGATTTCTTTCCTTTCTCGTGAATAGCACATAAGTTGTCATGTTTCCATTTGCTGGGTACAGTTCCGGTATTGATACAGTCTTGATAGATATCAGTAAGAACCCTCGATATTTCTTGGGCATTCTCCTTTAAAAAACAGGGGGGTGAATTCCATCTGGGCCATAAGCTTTCAATCCACTAAGATGCATTTCGATTCCAGAGGTTGGAATAGTTAATATTCCAATAGCGGGAGTAGGATTTTTGCCAGGATCTGAGATATCTTCTGTTTCTTCGTTGTTCAAAATACTGGAGAAACCTTAGCTCTCGGCTCAGTAAACACTTCATTTCCAACTTATGGAGTCGTCGAGAAAGTTAGAAAAATAATTGGTTCTGGACCTACTCAAGTTCTAGTGTAATTGTTCCCTGTTTAATTTGCACTTATACCAGTCAGACTGTCTTCCAGATTTCTT